TCCCAACTGCGCAGAGCACGACTCCGCGTCTCCTATCTACTCCCATCTCCCCCGGCATCCGCCGGCATGTGTTTTCAAACCGCGGCCCCAAAGAGATCCCGACCGCTTCCCCGGGGGTAGTTGTTCGTCCTCGGTCCATTGTCGATTTCCCCCGAGCCCGAGCCTCCCCGTCGCTCGGACGTCCATTTCCCGTGCATTGTTCGGTTTCGCGCGTGTTTTTTTTGCTCGATGGTCCAGGATGTTCCTCGATGGTTCTCGCCAGAAAAAATGCAAAGGTCCGAGCGATGCCAAGGAGCAAGGCGCCCGCGGAGGCCGAGCATCGAGGAAACACAGCCAGGACTGAACAGCACATGCTCGTCGCAACTCTGGGTCTGCTGCTCCGATTCTGCTTTACATGTGCCTCCCCTCCTCCTCCCCCCCCCCGAAGAGGGGGCGCGGCGCGGCGGCGGGGAGGTCCCGCAGGGCATTGTGGGGCGAGGCTGAGGATGGAGAAGACAAGAAGGGGGAGAGGAGAGGTGAGGGGACAGGGGACGCGCAGCAGTTCAAGACCTGAGCAAGCGGAGGACGACGACGACGAGGGAGGGGGGGGAAGGATGGGAGGAGGAGGAGGAGAAGGAGGAGGGGGAGGACGAGGGATGAGGCGGAGGAGGAGAAGGAGGGAGGAGGAGGAGGAGGAGGCGGAGGCGGAGGCGGAGGCGGAGGAGGAGGAGGCGGAGGAGGAGGAGGAGGAGGAGGAGGAGGAGGAGGAGGGGAGGGGGGAGGAGGACGAAGGAAGGAGAGAGAAGGACGACGGCCGAAGGAGCCGGGCGACGAGGGAGGACGCCGAGGCAGGGCGGGGGAGGCAGGGAGGGAGGGAGGGCGACAGTGCGCCCGGGCCTCTCGTCCCACTTGAGCTTCGGGTGCTCCTGGGGGTCGCGGCGCGCTCGCCGCGCGGGGGCCTTCCTCTCGTCGACCTCCGCGGCCTCGCCGAGGAGAACAACGAGCCGGAGGTCGGCGAGGGCACGATGCGATGCGCGCACCCTCGACGCCATGCTATCCGACTGTCCTGCGAGCACGGTGCTGAAGGTCGGGAGAGGGAGGGAGGAAGTCCCTCTCTCACTCGCTCCCCCGTCGGCCTCCTGCACCTCGGACGCCTCTTCCGCCTCCCGCTCGTCCTCGCTGTCCCCCTCCTCGTCCTCCTCATTGTCGTCCTCCTCCTTTTCCTTCTTCTCCTAGGCCTCCTCCTCCTCCTCTTTCTCCTCCTCCTCCTCCTCCTCCTCCTCCTCTTCCTCCTCCGATTGCTCCTCCTCCTCCTCCTCCTCGTTCCCTCCTCCCCTTCGACCTCACCTTCCTTCTTTCATCATCCTACTCCTTCCCTGCTTCTCCTCCTCCTCCTCCTCCTCTCCTCCTTCTTCCCTTATCCCTCGCCCAGACGTCTGCCGAGGAGGTGGTGGGGGTGGACAGAGCATGCGGAGGTGAGGGCGGGAAGAGGATGAGCCGGAGGAGGAGGTGGAGGGAGAAGGCCGTGGCCGTTCTGGCTCAGCCATCCACCAGCGGATGGCCGCCCTATGGCCTCAAGTTCGCTTGGCATCTCGTCTCGCAATGGCAGCAGCGGGGAGGCTTCCCGCGTGGAGGTGCACCACGGGACGAGTCGCCAAGCTGGTGGCCCGAGGCGAAGCATAGCTGAGAGAGGGCGGCCGCTGCGCGGCGGGGTCGTGAGAGCGCAGCTTGTGCCATCTGGGCGACGATGGAAAACGGGTCTTGCGCGAGGTGGCATAGCGACCCATATACGCAGTGGCTTACGCGGCCCGCCCTCTCGGCACGCCACATTTGAAGCGAGGGCGCTGGTGGGCGAACTTACGCGAGCAGCTCGCGCGCCAGTGTCGGCGCAAACGAGCGTCGCTCATCTGCCGTCTCCAGGCTCAACTGGCAAAGCTTTAGGTCGGGCATGCCCCCCTACGGGCGGATTTTGGACGACACATTAAAAAAATACGCAAACAAATACTCAACCATAGGCAAAAATACCAGAACAAATCGTCCCCAGACTATTTCTTGACTATTTTTGAATATTCCTCCTGCTCAGGGACAGGCCCGACTTAAACGTTGGGGGAAAATCCAGTGGGCTTCATGTTGGAGGGCTGGTCGCGGTGGAGAGGCAACAACTGTCAGGCCCCCTGGACTCCGGGCGTGACCGCGCCCATGTGCACAGCTGCAGCACCCAGGGACCTGCACTCGCACCCTCGACCTTAGTCGCGCCATCCCTCTCTCCATGCCACATGCTCCTGTACAGGGACCGGCCTGACTCAAGCGCAGCTGCAGGAGCCGCCCCGAGCACTCCAGGCCGCACCGACGGGCTGCACCGCGAGAGCTGGTGCGGACGGCGCGGGCCCAGACTGAGGTCGGGCCTGTCCCCCTACGGGCGGACCTTGGACGAAGCACACCCCCAAAGTATGCAGAAACACAAGATGTTCAAAACATCGTCCCCATACGATGCTTTGGCTATTTTTGAATGTCCCTCCTGTCGAGACCCGACTTACGCCCAGACGGAGGACGTCGATGCCCCCACCGTGGCGCGCCTGCGGCGCCGTGCTGCTGCCCACGCCTTCGACGTGCCGGCGGCGACGACTGCGGACGCCACTCGGAAGCTGGGCGAGGGCTGGCAAATCCGTGGCTGCCAAAACGGTCTGCCCGGAAGAAGAAAACATATTCTCTGAATAAAACTCGACGCACTGGCGGCGCCTCCGGCGCCGCGCCTGGCGCGAGGGCCCAGCGCGGATCCGAGAAATCCGCGCGGACCTCCGTTTTTTTACGTTTATGCCACTCTTCGCTCCCCCTGCTAGGAGGACCTCGGCACGCGGTGCGCTTCCGGCGCGGCCGCCTCCTCGCCCTCCGCGGGGCTGCCTCCGCCGTGGCCCCGCGCGGCTCCAGGGCGCACCGCGGGCTGCGGCGTGGCGGAGCGCGCCCGGGGCCGCTGCGACGCCCGCCGCACCGCTCGAGGAGACGCACCGGCTGCACGTCGAGGCGGGCTCTGGGGGGGGAGCCCCAACCCGCGCGGGCAGCTCATCCCCCTCGGCTCGTCCCTCTCGTCTCTCTACTCCTCCTCCCCCGATCTCCCTCGTCGCCGTCCTGCGGCCGCATCCCGCGGGTGAAGCCCGGACTCACCCCCTCGCGTCGTGCCCCTCGCCTGTCTCGTCCTCCATTCGCCCCCCTCCCTCGTGTCGCCCACCTGCGGCGCGGCCGTGGCGTCGCCGCGGCCCTGGAACGGCCACCACCGACCACCCGCGGTCAAGACCAAGCTGCTGAGCGCATGCCGGCTTGGTGGCTCAGGGCACGGCCAATGGCCAACGAACACGGATTTTGTCTGCTGCCAGATGGCCGATGCTGGAACACCTTACCCGCCCCCAGCGGTTCACATCCCTTGGGGGCCCCGACCTTTTCGGACCGCGCGGCGGAGCCGACCTCGCTCTGCTTCTCCGCCGGCCTGCCGCCGAGGAAGAGCTGTGAACCTCTCGGTCCCTCCTTAAGGCGGGACCCTGCCTGGAACGCCCCATGTGTGCGATGTGGATCGAGGAGGAGGTTGAGGGGCAACGCCAGGGGGGTCCAGGGAGGGAGGCATCCCCAGAAGTCGGCGAAACATCGGCGATAGGCCCCCCGATGGCAAATCCGCACGGTTCCTGGGCGGGGTGGGCTATCGGGCCCGCATCGGCGATGAATGGGCGATTGGTGTGGGTCGTCACGTCCCCCCTGACACGTCCCCCCTGGCGGCGAGCGAGGGGGGGAAGTGAGAAGGGGCGGGCCTTCTCAGAAGGCTCAGAAGTACCCAGGCCTGCTGAGAGGTTTCCTGGGCCTTCCCCGAAGATCGACACAAACTTCTCAGAAGGCGCGAGGGCTTCTGAGATGTCCCGCCGCCTTCTGAGAAGGCCTCCTCCTTCTCACTTCCCCCCCCCCCTCGCTCGCCGCCGACAAACGCTGCTGACTTCTGGGTGCTGACTTCTGGGTGTACATATTTCAACTTGTTCGGTTTTCTGCGGCATGTGCAACGTTTTTTTGGCGGCGCGCAAAAAAGATGGTAGGGGGAGGGGGGAAGGCTTCTTAGAAGCACCCTGCTTCTCAGAAGGCCTCGGCCTTACGTCTGTAGAAGGCCCCCGCTTTCTAAGAAGCAGGGGTGCTTCTGAGAAGCCTTCCCCCCTCCCCCCTGCCCCCCTCTGCGCGTTGCCGAGTTTTGTGCGACTGACGCTGTCCCTGGTTAGGAAGGCACCAACTATACACCAACACCGATCCTGGCCAGGATCACTCTGGGCCCAGGATCGGTGTATACGCCCTCCTGCCTTGCGCAAGAAGGCATATACACCGATCCTGGGCCCAGGCTGATCCTGGGCCAGGATCGGTGTTGGTGTATAGTTGGTGCCCTCCGACTGGTGCAAATGTAGATCGACGGGGCGGCCCAGAGCGCGGAGACGGGGCGGACCATGGCCGAGCGTCGGGTGGCCCCCGCGCGCGGCAGCGGAGGCGCCGACGCGCGCAGCCAGGGGCCCAATGCCATGGCAAGGCGGCCCTGGCAGCACGCTTCGCTCGCAGCGCACCGCGCCGGCGGGCGCGGGCGCGACTCTGCGGAGCTGGCGGGCCGCGCCGGGCACCGAGCCCGCTGGAGCGGGCGAAAACGCACAGAGCGGCCCGACGTCGTGGCAGCACACGCGCGACGCAGAGAAGCGAGTCATGCTCAGAGCGCGAATTACCTACCCCGCTTTTGCTTCCGGGCAAAACCAGGGCATGCCACGCGCCTCCCCGTCGAGCGGCCTGACCAGCGCGGCCGTAGTCTGGCGTCGCTTGGTAGCTCTTGGAAGCGAGGGTGGTCAAAAGCGAGGTAGGTTCGTTTGCCCCCTACATACGCACGATGTCGTCGCGACTTTGCGCGGTGGCTCGCGCGGGCCGCCAGCGCCCCACGCCCATCTGGAAGAGAGGGCGCCTGCGTGCTGATCGCCTGGCGCAGGCAGCTTACGCACAAGTATCCGCCCAACCGACAGGGCTTCCCTGCGTCACTCACACGGGCCAAGGCACGGGGGCAACGACCCATTGACCACCTGAGTGCGACACGTGGCCGACTCCTGAAACCCGGATCCCCGACCACAAGACACCTCCCACAAGAAACCAAACCCTGAGAACCCGGGGCGTCCATGGATTTTTGGCGTGGGGACGCCACGCCTTCCACGACACAGCCGTCGCTGCGCAAGAAGCCCGGGGCACCCTGGAGGCGAACAAGGTGCTGCCTGGCATGGGCCCCCACTGGCCCGCTGGACTCCTGCCGGCTGCCGCCGAGGGCGAGGCGCGCCGCACAAGCGAGGCCCATTGAGAACAATAATAATAGACATGATAGTACGAATAGTAAGAAGAAAAAGAGTACGATTACTGATCACATTAATGATACTAGCACTGATGATAATATTAATACTAATAATAAGACAAGCAAGAACAAGCACGAACGCACGAATAATCTAATTGCCTATTGCACGGAGATAAGATGTATTCGCAATGATCCGTACAATAAGAAGGATAGTATCAAGACGGCGAAGAATATCAATCTGGAGAGCCCCACGCAGGACAGGACGCTGCAGTGGGAACCCGACCACAGGAACCCTCCCACGAGAAACCCAACCCTGAGACCCCAGGACGTCCCTGGATTTCTGGTGTGGGAAAGCCACGCTCCCCGCAGCGAGACCACCGACACCCACAGCAACCCAGGGCGCCCTGGAGGAGAGCAGGGTGCTTCTTGGCACGGGCCCCCACTGTGACACGCGGCGATCGGAACTCCTGGCGCTCTGGCTGGCGCCCGATGGCCAGGACACGGTCTCCAGGACCCGGGGGCGGCGGCCAGGAGCTCGAACACACCACCCGACACCCACGGCCAGGAAGTCGAACACACCACCCACCCGGAATAGAAGAACGCGGTAGGGGCCAGCCCACAAGAAACCCATTCCCGAGACCCCAGGGCGTCCATCGATTTTTTTGGCGCGGGGACGTCGCGCTGCCCATCACAGCACCAGCGAAGCCCAAGACGCCCAGGGCACCCCTGGAGGCGAGCAGGGTGTTCCTTCGCATGGGCCTCGACTGCAAGCACAATTTCTCGGATACCCGCGCGGACCTCTTGGATTATGTCGGGCGTGTCCCCCTACAGGGGGATTTTCGACGAACAGTTGAAAATACACAAAGAATAAGCCCAAAAAGCAACAAAAATACACCCAAAATAGTCCCTGGACTATTTTTTGATTATTTTTTTGCCGATTTGGGGGGTATTTTTTTTTCGTCGAAAATCCCCCCTGTAGGGGGCCAGGCCCGACTTAACTCTTGGACCTGGAGCCCGACCCCGCCCCCCGGAGCGCGCCAGGGCGCGCCAGGCGCGGCGCCCGCGCCGGCGGCCGCCGCTCCCGCTGGCGGCCGGGGTCGACCGGAGGGGGGGCACGCGGGCTTTGGGCGTTGCTTAATGGGGGGGGTCATAAATGGGGGGGTCAGAAACGGTCCCCTTTCGTGCCCCTTTCGGGCCCCTCTGGAGCCCCAGGGGGCTCGTTTAGGCACCGTTTGGGTACCTTTTCGGACCACCCTCGCCACCCCCCGGCGGGAGGGCACGAGACCCCTCCGGGGGCCACCCTGCCACAGGAGTGCGTGGGACGCACGGGGACACACAGAGGAAAAAGAAGTATGCACATGCACCGATTCTGGCCAGGCCCATCCTGAGCCCAGGATCGGTGCATACGCCCTCCTACCTTGGCCAGGAAGGCATATGCACCGATCCTGGGTCAAGGATGGGCCCTGCCAGAATCGGTACATGTGCATAGTTCTCTTCGCCCGAACACACTAGTACCAGATGTCCTCCTTGGAGGCGCGCGTCCCACCCGACCCTACGGTGTGCCCATCCTGCAGTGGAGCGTGCGCCCGCCACGACGCGTGTACGGAGCGGTGCCTCGGTGCGCGCGCCGCTCCTGGGGGGGGGGGGGGGGGCGACGCACACACAGCAGCCAGCATGCTGGGGTAACGCCGAGTGCAGGACACGACCCCTCCTCCTCCCTCCTCCTCCTCCCTCCTCCTCCTCCTCCTCTCCTCTCCCCACCTCCTCCTCCTCCTCCTCCTCCTCCTCCTCCTCCCTCCTCCTCCCCTCCCCCTCCCTCCTCCCTCCTCCCTCCTCCTCCTCTCCTCCTCCTCCTCCTCCTCCTCCTCCTCCGCCTCCGCCTCCGCCTCCGCCTCCGCCTCCGCCTCCGCATCCTCCTCCTCCTCCTCCTCCTCCTCCTCCTCCTCCTCCTCAGAACGTGTGCTGGCCCAAACGCGTGTCTGCCCATCGAGGCCCTTCGATACGACGCAGGCGATGTAGAGCTCTTCTGGTCGGGCGGAAGGGGGTAACACACACACACACACACACACACACACACACACACACATTGGGCTCACACACGTCCTGAGGGTCACATCGACCTGGGGGATGTCCTGCGCATGCCCAAAACTGTCAGAGCACCGAAACCAGCTTCGTACCTGCTGTGGTCGATGTGGCGCCCCAGGACGGCCCGATCGACCACGACCACAACCAAAGTGCTCGCGTCGAGGTCGGTGGGTTCTCCCCCGATGGCCCCCCCCCGAGAAATCCACTTAGTTGTGGTTGAGGCGCTTTGTAGTGCCCGGAATGGGAGCCTCCCATGCTATCCTGCTGGCTCTTGCGAATCGACGCCAACCGACGCACCGATGCTACTCGACGCCCATCGGCGCCAGAAGCTAGCTTGACGCCTCATCTGCGCCTTCTCATCGAATGCCAGACACTGGCGCACGCTGACGCACTCTGAAGACGGAAGTGCGAGGACATGGCGGGGCGCCTCAACAGCGGCGCGGAGCTCGTCGAGCGAGGCCACCCGCACCTGCCGCGCGCAGCCGAGGGCGGCCCCGCCCGAACGAGGACGGGCAGGGCACGGAGATCGGGGGAGAAGGCCGGGAGTGGAGGCATCCTAGATAGGCTCCGAGTAGATAGGAGTCAGAGGATCGCCCCGCGTCGCCGAAACAGCAGCGAGGCATCGGAGATGCACCGGCATGGGCGACGCATCGGCGATGCCGACGTGGAGAAAGTATGGCTCCACATCGAGCCGCATCGGAGATGCATCGGCGATGGAGCGCGATCCTTCGAACCCGTCTACCCCGACCACATTCGGGAGGCCCAGTTACAACACAAGGATTCGAAGCCCGATTAAGGAGCCACTGAACCGAATTGGCCCTCATTACGCCCAAGATCTAGCCCAGTTAAGCTGCAGTAAGCCTTATTTTTTTAGACGGGATGAAGCTGGATTATGCCAGATTGGACCTGTTGTCGACCGCGAATATACAAGCGCCGATGCTGAATTGAACATCCCCGGAATCGCATAATATTGCATTCAAATAAAGCGATGGGGCCTGGTGGTACGAGGCACAGAGGTGGGAGACATACCACTCGGCAGCGGGTAACCCTGAGATCCGACGTTGCGAAACAAGAACGTGCAACATCGCGAACCATCCCAACTGGACCCCTAGACCAAATGTTTCTGCGGCATTTTAAGAGCCGTATCGATATGTGATGGCCCTGGGGCCCGAAACTAGGCGAAAACACACGGCGCAAAGAAAACGCAACGCCAGGGTTTCAGGGGAGATGGGAGGAATGTCACGCGTCAGCGGGCACCTGCGCATGTGGCGAGTCGTTCCTGACATCTGCTGCGCAGAGCATCCCAAGACCACCGCAGGAGAGGCATCCCACTCTGCCCCAGGACCCGCAGGAGGACGCGCCCGCTGGGGTGCGCCGTGCAACTGCCGCAACGACAGCAACAACAGAAGAGCGCTGCGGGCAAGGCAGGGCAGCAAGAACAAACCGCGCAAACAACGATGGGCGGCTAAGCGCTGTCAAATTCGACCTCCCTCTCCCTCTCTCTCTCTCTCTTTTTGTTTATGTCCTTCTCTCTCTGTATCTATATGTACACACCCATAGAACCAACAATCAAATCAAAACACACATCATGTCTCGGGGGTCTGTGCCGATTTCTTGACTGTGCGCTGGACCCCTCTCCCTGGCGCGCGGAGCGCCGCAGGGGCGGCGCCTGAGGCGCCGCCAGGGGGGGCAAGCGCCAATCCCAGAAATCCGCTCGGACCTCAGAGACATTAGGTTTATGCCGGTTTGGGCACTGAAGTAGTGGAAACAATTGGTTTTCAAAATGTCTGGTTTTTTAAAGCTCTGCGTGGCGACGCCCCCGTCGCCACGCGTGCCCTCTGCGTGCCTGCGGGGGCGCCGCCACGTAGAAGTACTGGAGACCGAGCATATGGGGCGTCGCTACGCACGCCCTCTGCGTGGCTGCGACCATTTGTGAAAACCCTAAAACCATTAAATTCACTGATAAAGTACTTTGATTCGCACTCTCTCTCTCTCTCTCTTTTCCGCTTCCCTCGCCCAATCCACGATCGAAGGAGCAGCCTCGCGGTTGCTGGACTCGCTCTGCTGGCTCGAGCCGGCGCCCGCTGGGAACAGTCCCCTGTCCTGGGGCGCGCGGGGGGCGGGGGGCGGGGGGGGGGGCGGTGAGGCTGGCGCGGGAAGATGGAGGGAGGGGGAAGAGGGAGGGGCGTCTGTGACGCCTCTCTGCATGCCTCGCTCGATCACGAGATGTGCACGAGATGCGCAGATACCTGCTCCACGTGCGGATCATGTATTAAACATGCAGGGATCTAGTTGTAAAAACAACGATGAGTCCATGCATACTTTTATTCATACATTAATCATGTTTTAAACATCCTATATGTTTAAACAAAATCCTATGCATTGAGAACTGCCCTGTACTGCTAAGGGCACTGCGCGGCCGCCGGGGCCCGCCCCGAGCCTCCTCCCTGCACGGCAGGGGCCCTCGTCCTGAGCCACGACCGGGCGGCCGGAGCACTCCTCGGCCGGCCAAGGCCCTAATTATGGGGACGCCGCAGCGACGCTCGCGGCACGGCGAGCGCCAGCCCCGGGGAGGGCGCCCGGGCCTGCGGGGACCTCGCGCCGTGACAAAGTCGCGAGGTCGGCTTTCTGGAGCGGAGGGAGGGGAGGGAGCAAGGATCCACATGCGAACCCTACCCCTGCCCCCCACGATTTCCGAGGGGGAGTGTGGGGTTGACTTCGCACGGGAGCTCCCGAACGAAGTGAACCCCACCCTCCCCCTCCGAAATCGCGGGGGGTAGGGGTAGGGTTCGCACGTGGCCCCCTAGGGAGGCTCGGCCTGAAGGAGGAGCTCGGGCGGTGATGCCGGCAAGGGAGGGGGGGATGGGGGGGGGCGCTGGCGAGGGGAGACGGGGAGGAGAGGACGGAGATCAGCCTGAAGGAGGTGGGGCTGGCGAGGGAAGGGGGGGAGGAAAGGGAGGGAGGAGAGGGAGGGCCACCACGAAGGAGATCCAGCGGCGATGCTGGCAAGGGAGCAGGGGAGGAGGCTGGCGAGGGAGGGTGGGGGAACCAAAAGGTACCGGCACCGCTGCTCCCTGGACCTCGCCCGGGGCGCGCTCTAACCAAGTCTTCGGGGCGAGTCCAGCGGTGGCGACGAGAGGGCCGTCAGGAGGCCCAACGAGGGGGGAACGGGGCGAAGGCCAGCGGTGTGGGTACCTTTTCCTCCTCTGAAGGAGGGGGGGGGGGAGGCTGGCGAGGGAGGGCGGGGGGAGCGGAGGAGGGAGGAGGAGGGGAATCAGCCCGAAGGAGATCGGGCCCTGAGCGAGAACGGCATCCTGGCGGTTCTCAACGCCGTCCTCGGGCCCCACAGGCGCCCGCCGCCCAAGACCGCCAAAGACTGCACTTGAGCGACGACCAAAACGGGTCTTACGCAGGATGGCGCGGCGATCTTATTGAAGGGGCCCTGGGACACACAAGTAAATACACACAAGTAGAAAGATTCCCCATGTTTTCCGATATGTCCTGGGTTTCCGTCTCCCCCCCCACTTCCCATGTTTTCCTGTACTTTCTGGGGGATCGACGATGAATTGTGTCTGTGTGTTTTCGTTCCCTCCTGAATCTTATGCGGTGGCTTAACTCCGGGTGACGCGAGCCGCCGGCGCGGCACGCTACTCTGGAGACCAAGGGTGCTCACGCGCGACCCTGCGCGGGCGACTTCTACGCGACGATGCTGGCGCGGGCGACCCCGTTTTTTTTGTTGCGCCGCCCACTTGCCACTCGCGATGGCTGGCTGGTCCCGACTCGCTACTCGGCTCTCTTCGGGGATGGACAGACCTCCCTTTAGTAAAACGCGGTTTCGTGAAACCGACCTCGGGCCCAAACCTGGCGGGCGAAAGTCTCGAAAATAGCGGCCGCGGCGCCCTCTCGAGGACCGAAAACGGACAATTCACTAATCCACGTGTCACTGTTAGGAGGTCTGTCCACCCCCTCTGGCCGCCGTTCGGGACGATCCGGGCACCCCCGGAATGCTCTGGGCAGGGCGCGGCTGCCTGAAAACGCAGCCCGACGGCTGGAGCGAAACCGAGATGCGACGGAACAACGCCCGAGCCCCTCGAACCCTAGAGGCCTCCCAGATGGGGTCCGAGCAGCTGGGGTCGAAGGATCTCACCGCATCGCCGATGCGTCGACGATGCATCGCTGATGCGTCGGCGATGCATCGGCCATGCACTGGCGACGCCAGCGATGCATTTGCGACGTTGGCGTGGAGACAAACGAGCCCCCCATCGAGCCGCATCGCCGATGCACTGCCGATGCATCGGTGATGCGGCGCGATCCTCCGACCCCACCTGCTACGACCCCATCTAGGAGGCCCAGAAATCCTGCAGGGCCCAGGAGCCGCTCCCCTCGGGGCACGTCGGCCTTGGGCCACGAGGGCGAGAGGAAGGAAACCGCTTCGCCGCTCCGTCGATCCCGGCGGCACGCGCAGGAGCGACCCTGGGCAGAGGCGCGTCGACAAGACGCCGCTGCCGCGTCGCGCTCGGCGGTCGGGGGGCCCCGGTGGGGCCGCACCAGAGGTCACTCTGGCCGAGGGGGTAGCGGGAAGGGGGAAGGCTTCTCGGAAGGAGGCTGCTTCTTGGAATGCGCCGGCCTTCCATCTACATACGAGGCCCGCGCCTTCCAAGGAGCAGGGGTGCTTCTGAGAAGCCTTCCCCCCTCCCCCAAAAACCCCTTTGCGCGTGGCTGAACTCTTGCGTGCAGTCAACCGACAATCTTTTGAGGGGAACGTTCGGCGGGGGGGGCTGGTGGCTCAGGGGGACGGGGGATGTCAACGGCGATACGTCGCCGATGGATCAGCGAGTGGCCCCCGAGAGCCAGAACCGGACGTTCCTGCGCGGGGTGGACTTTCGGGCCCCTATCTGTGATCACTGGGCAATTGGGGGTCGATGCGTCCCCCCTGCGCTTATCCACGCCAGTCATTGAATGTCCGCGCTGGAGATGCCGCCTCGTCAACGCGGCATGATCCGACCATAAGTGCATCCCCCCGAGCCTATCCACGCGTAGCGTTGCCCCTATATGTTCGCGGTAATGCCCGTGACTGGCCCCGCCCCGCCCCCCCCTCCCCTGGTCACGTCAGGATTCGCCCCGGCGCCGTCTGGGAATCAACCGTTCCGTTCCCCGACGGCGCTCGCGCGAATCGCGGCGTGACTGGACCCCTTTTTCTCCCCGTTGGCGGTCACGCCCGACTTTCGCCAGGTGGATAAGAAATAGTTATTGGTTTTCCTGCGAAGGCCAAGGTTCGCCGCGGGCGGGGGAAGAAAATACCAACCGATGACCCGCCTTTTGGCTCAGGGCAGCCCCGCGCATGTCCGCACGCGCCAATATTGCGCACCCCCACTCGGACCTGCGCAAGCGACCAGGCCAGGTTATCGGGAGAAAAAGGGGGGGGGCGGGCCAGCCCGATAACCCGGGTTATCACGGGACCCTTGGAAAACAGTATCCGAACGAAAACGGTCCCCGTGCAGAGCGGCGCAAAACCGTGCGCCTCGGCAGGGAGCGCTTAGCTTGCGGTGCGCTTCGGTAGCGGTGTGGCGGCCCTGCGGCGCACTGGCCGCCGGGCGCCCACCGCCGCGGTGCCTCTGCGGCACTCTGCCTCGTCTCGCCCCCTTGGGCCTGATCCGCGGGCCCTGCCCGCGCCGCTGCCGCGGCCTGCTGCTGGGGAGCCGTGGCGGCATCGTGCTGAGCCTTCCCTCCCAGTGCCCTGCCGCCCTCGTCGTGCTCGCCCCTGGGTCATCCTCCTCCTGCCCCTTTTCCTCCTCCGCCTGCCCAAGCTCTTCCTAAGTACATGCGCCAGGTGCAATATCAACTCTCTGAAGCACTCGCCTCGACGCCGCCCGCAATGACTCCCGTCCCTCCGAACAAAAAAAAAAAAAAATTGGACGAACTTCGCGCGGCCCCTCGGGGCCTTGGCTGAGACCCCCGCGGCCCCGCGAGGCGGGCTGGCGCGGCGCGGCGCCAGTGCTTCTTCCTGCGCTGCCTCGCCCCAGGTTCCCCCTCGTCGTGCTCCTCGGTTCCGCCGCTCTCAAACTCCAGCAGCCACGTCCAAGGCGGGCCGTCCAAAGTGTGTCGGGGAGAAACAAAGGATTGACATTGCGGATGGAATACAAATCTTTCATCTTTGACCGAAAACCAACGTCGCTCTGCTTCTGCAACATGAAAACCCAAACCCATGGGCGGCGTCCCTTGCGAGTCGGGTGGCGCGGCCGAGATCGGACAAAAAGAATATTGCCCGGGTCCTTCGGGGCCAGCGCAGCGCACTTCGCAACGAGAGCCTTCGCCTCCGCGCCCATCTCCGCCTCAACCTTAATCTTCTGCTGTAAGGTCTCCAGCATGCACTTGAACGCGACTAAACGCTGGCTTCCACCGAGGACGTGTGCTCGAATTTCCATTATCTCGCCCATGTTCGAGTCCTTTCCTCCATCTTCGCCTCAACGCCCCTCCTCGTCTTTCCGCCGCAAGACGCGCAGGGTACTGGCGGATTGCTTCTCCTCCTCGCCCTGCAGGATGCTCGCAAAACTGGCGCGGTCCTCGAGTCGACCCGCGCGCCGAACCAGCGAGGCAAGGATGGGTGCCATCTTGCGCGCCGCGGCGTGGGCGCATGCTTTGAAAGGGTCGTCGCTGCCTCCTTGGTCTCTCTGCGGCTGACGCGCCCCTGCTCCGCCCGCTGGCCCCGCTTCTGAGATCGCGGCTTGCGTAGGCATGGGCATCGGCGCGCTGGGTGGTAGATTGACCCCGCCTCGAAAACGTCGACAGTCGCGCTACAAACGAGCACATGTAGCTTCAGCTACAACGGGATGCCCGAGATTCGACGATGGTGCTGACACGTCAGGACATTGGCCGTGCAATGCTCGCGCTTGAAATGCCGCGACGCCCTGATTGCCTCTGCGCGCTGCTTGTCTCGTCGCGCTGCACTGCGCCGAGCCCCCCGCATCCAGACCTCGCGAGGCGCGTGCGAACGCGTGTGTATATGATCCATCGCGATCACCGCGAGGCCACAATACTTGCGCGCGCGGATCGCGCCGCGCGCCCTGAGCGCTGACCTGCTGCCCCGCCCTCGGCTTGGCACC